AAAAAAGAAGCAAACTTTTCTAAAGGCCTGAACAGCCCTGCATACTGGCGTTGGTGGCCAAGAACTTGTTTGGTTGAGAAGACGCCAGTGACGAGCACAGCTAGTGTAAGCTGTCTTTTCAAGCCTAAAGTGGGCAGCCGGGGTCAGTGCCCCTACTAGAGGCTCCGGACATTTAGGACCATGACTCTGTGTTAGGAAGCGTCTATGAAACAGGATGCCTCACAATGAACTGAGCCATGTCACCCCCTGCTGAAACCCTTCTCGTGGCCCTTCACGCTCTACAGAGCCCACCCTCATTCAGAGCCAAGCCCTCGTTCTCGGCGCTGTTGCCACCCGATGACACCCTTCAGGATCCTCCGACATGAGGAGGCCTTTCCAAGTCCATGGCGGTCGCCCTGCTGCCTGGATCGCTCTTCCAACCACCCAGTTCCTTCCTTAGTTCGGCGTCAACCTCACCTCTTCAGAGAGGCCTTCCCTGACCGTGACCCTTCACCCGTATTCTCTGCTCTCACAGTGTGCTCTTGCTTTTCTTCACGGTGTCCCCCACCAGAATTGGTGACTGTGCCTTTGCTTACTTCTCTGTTTATGGTCTCTTCCTACACTCCATCCTGCTCCCAGAGCCGGGCACACAGGGGGTCGTCCTTGGTAAACATCTGTCACTGGAATGAACGGGACTTCATCCAGTGCTAAAGTCCTGTGCTTTCTGTTGGATAAAATATGTATTTGCAGAGTTTAAAGGAAGGCTTTGTATGTATGGGAATGTCTCACAGACATAAGATGGATGTATTTGTAGGATGAGGAGACATTCCAAACTATTTTCACAAGGAATGGCTCCTCCCTCCTGGTCTCATGGTGGTTTTGTTTTAGTGGAGGTATAATTTGCACACAGTACTGTCCGCATTTTAAATGAATCTTACCTATGTGTACCCCCATGAAGATCCAGATGGAAATACAGAATGCTTACAGCACCCCAAAAGGCTCCACGGGTCCCCTCTCAGTTGGTACCTCCAAAAGGTAATTGTTATTATTTCCATCATATACGTCAGTGTTGACGCTTTCTTAACATCACAGATGGAGTTATCTGTATGTCACATACTCTTCCATGTCTGTCTATTCTTGCTCAAAAAGATGATTTTGAGATCCATCTCTGTTGCTCTATGTCCCAGTAATTTGTGTGTTCTATTGCTTTGTGATGTTTCTTTGCATGGACGCACCGCTGCCTAGTTATCCATTCCATGATGGAAAGACATTCCGGTTGTACCCAGCTGACAGCTATCACAAGCAATGATGGTGGAGGTATTACTGCACAGGGACCTGGGTAGATGTGAAAACCCATGTCTGCTGGAGGCGTGTCCTGGCATGGGATGGCCCCCAGATGGGTATATGCTCAGCCTTAGTAGATGCTACCAGTGTCCCGAGGTGGCAGTACCAGCTCACACTCCGCCCTGCTCCGCGTCATCACCAGCACTTGATATTTCCCCAAACCCAGTTTTGGCCATTCTCATAGGTGCGTGATGTACCCTGTTGAGATTTTAACTTGCCTTTCTCAGATGAGAAATGATGTTGAACACTTGCTAATGTTTATGGGCCATCTAGGTGTTTTAGGTATGAGTGTGTAGGCATGAATTGCCTATTTAAGTATTGTGACCGTTTAAAAAGAAATGAATTGCCTGCCTTGTTCTTACTGATTTGTAGAAGTTTTTTTTGTTTTTTTTTTCTTTAATAACATTTCGGGTATGAGCTACTTAATAGCTGTATGGCCCTGGCCAGTTTGGCTCAGCGGTTAGAGCGTCGGCCTGCGGTCCGGAGAGACCCGGGTTCGGTCCCCGCTAAGGGCACGTACTTCGGTTGCAGTTTGTCCCCGGCCCTGGTTGGTCGTGCGGGTGGCAGCCACTCGATGTGTCCCTTCACGTCGATGCTTCTCACTCTCTCTCCCTTCCTCTCTCTCCCTCCCACTCTACCTGTACAAAAAATGGAAAAAATATCCTCGGGTGAGAATAAAAATAAAAATAAAAAAAATAGCTGTATGTATTGCAAATATCTTCCCCCAGTCTATGACTTTCCTTTCACACTCATAATGGTGTAATTTGATGAGTGTGCTGTTAATTGTAATGAAGTACAATGTCTCCATCATTTTTTAAAAAATGAAAGTGCTTTTTGTGCCCTGGCCAGTTTGGCTCAGCGGTTAGAGCGTCAGCCTGCGGTCCGGAGAGACCCGGGTTCGGTTCCCGCTAAGGGCACGTACTTCGGTTGCAGTTTGTCCCCGGCCCTAGTTGGTCGTGTGGGTGGCAGCCACTCGATGTGTCCCTTCACGTCGATGTTTCTCTCTCTCTCTCCCTTCCTCTCCCCCTCCCACTCTATCTGTACAAAAAATGGAAAAATATCCTCGGGTGAGGATAAAAAAAAAAAAAAAAGAAAGTGCTTTTTGTGTTCTATGTGACAGGTTTTTGCTCACGTTGGGTCTCTCATGGTGTTTTCAGTGAAAGAACAGAGTTGGAGAGATGTGGAAAGAGGGTCCTGGTGCAGTTGACGTGACTTTTAGGACCAGGAAGGCGGAATCGTGACAATAAACAGGAGGCTCTTGGATTCCCCTCAGCAGAGCCCAACCCACCCTCCAGACCTGGTCCCAATTCCCCACCTTCATGAGCCACCTGCCAGCCAGCTCCACCCTCTGCTCAGACCGGAGAAGCTCGGAGGAGTTCGCCCACCTCTTGGTAACTTCTTAGAAAGACGACAGGCTGAACTGTGGTCCTCTGCCCTTACCTCTGAAACACAGTCAACTCAGGCAGACAACAAAGAAATTGCACCACGTGGACAAGGGGTCATTCACCAGGTATATTTGAAGTCTAAGCTCTTTGAGCTCTACACGTGCACAAATGATTCAGTTGGTGGAAATCTCCCCCTCCCCCTCCACATTTAAACTTTCAAACTTAAAACAGTGCGGAAGAGGTTTGCATAATGCGCGTCATGGAAATGCTGAAGCGAGCCTGACTTTCACGGTGCTGGGAGCTTCCAGGAAAGGCCTGAGATCTTCCCGACCCTTCCTGCTCTCCTGGGCAAGGCTCCTCCCCCTCCCCAAACCCACTGTCAGGAGAGCATCACTCCATCTGAGACAGATGAACGTGGGCACTTGGCAGTCAAGTTCACCAGACTGACCATGTTACACTCCACTGAGTTGTTTTATGATTACACAGAATGGTCACTTCAACTTTGACTGAATGTGGTTGGAAGTGCCTGATGTATCTGTTTTTCAACATTTAAAAGTCATTTCCAAATATGTTCTCTCTTCCAGATTTCTCCAGAACCTGCGTTCTGAAAATTCTGAGTAGCGTAAAAAGTCAACCCGCAGATGATTGAGAAGATTCAGCACAAAATGGTTGACAGGGGCACTTACTTCTGTTCCTCTCAACAGAGGAGGCCAATCTTCCTCCACTAGAGGGCGACATTTCTCCACTACTCAGTCTAATCTCATCTGTCAAGGAAAAACCAAAAATCTCCACAGCAACGGAAAGTCAAAGGATTTGCTTATCATACACTCCTCAGACTTTATTTTTAAGAGGAACCTTCATTTTTCTTATGGAAACTCAAGACTTTACAGGCAGTACTGTCCTCAGTTTCACCCATACTGTGTCCAGTATTATATTGCTATATTCACAGTAGAACGGACTTGAATCTCTGAGTGATCAGTCTGTATTTTAAGTTTCTGATAAAACTAACATACACCTTAGTCAAAAACCACAACAATCCTTCTATCAGTTGGCTGTGTTCTTGTCCTTGTGTGTGTTGCTGAGGCTTGGATAATAAAGTATTTCCCCACTCCATTGTAATTGGCATTTGCATCTGAAGTCATTCATTCATGGACAGGAGCAGATGAGGCCTGGCACACAGAGCAGAAGGTAATGGTTCTGGAGGTGTAGCTTCTGTAATGCACTTTGGGCTAGAGAGATAGAAAAATCACATGTAACGAAAACAAGCCACTTTCTGAGCAATAGGGGCGTGGCACGAGCAGGGTGGGCATACGTGTGTGTCACCTTCGCCTTTTAACATGCTCAGCAGCTGCTACATTCTGGAGCGTCAGCTTCATCCAAGTGATCTACCACTGACCTGAACATCTTCACTTTATTTAAAAACAAGTGGTCTTGACAGCAAAGATGTTGGCTAATGGTTTCTACATTGGCATGAGAAGTTGTGCGCCCTTTCAAAAGTCGACATTATCCATAATAGAGTGTACTGTTATCTCGTTATCTGAATTCGTTTACGAATGCATTCATAAGCAATGCACATATTATGTTTTAAAGCAGCTGAACGATCACTAAATAAAAAACATCCAGATTTTAAAAGCACAGCTGAAACGTTTGTACAAATATACAAAGAGAAAAAAACAATCATTCAGACACCAGGAAACTTGTGTTATAAATAGGTTTGTCTGAAATCGGTCTCCGTCACCCTGGACAAGCCTCCCCAGGGAGGCTGGGGAAGTTCTACACAGATGTGGTGTTCAAAACCTACAGAGGAATATCTTTGGGGCCAAGCTCAGTTCTGCCTCCGGGAATTTTAACAGAGCTATGAAGTAGGGACTAAAAATAGTGACTCTACCCAGACTTGTGGCGCTGGGCGCTGCTGATAATTTTTCTAATCTAGAGAGGACATGGCCGGATGCTGACCATCTGTGAGTTAATAGTATATCCTCAAATCATGGAAATAAATGCTGGTGATCATGCATGTCCTGGGAATGTCGGGATGCAGAGGACTGAGTGAGATTGGGTAGGGGTATCTCATGCAGTCAAACTCAAGTGTACTTATGGTCCTACGCGAGTGGCCAGGAATAAACACACACACACACACACACACACACACACACACACACGTCAGGACCGGGACTGAAACAACTCACAAACAACACAGGTGCAATTCGTCACGGATGTCTCTGGCCTGGATCACCACGAGAGAAGGAAGATACAGGCTGTGCTGATTGTTGAATAAGAAAATACTACTTTTTTTTTTTTTTTTTTTGTCTAGAACCTTCTAAATAATGGATTAAATTGATGGTATGATATGATCAGGATACATATCACCTTTCCTAGCCCTTTTGTCTGAGAGGCTTGATTACAAGGAAGGAATCTCAAACAACCAAAACACCCAGTGATTTAAAGGCATTTTTTTTTTCCCAACAAACATCAGGGGGAAAAGGAGGCGTGATAAAGAGGAGACGTATTGTCGACGAGGCGGAGCGGAGAGCTCAGTTGGACACGGAGGGCGGCGGGCCGGGACGCCGGGTTTGGATGATCTTGGGCTTTGGGGACGTCTTTGGATCTTCCTCTTCCTCGGTGTCGCTGTCACACACGTGCACGACGACACTAGGGGTGGACTCAGTGCCCGCGTGGAGCTCATACTTCTCTCCTGAAAAGCAAGAGACGTGGGGGTGAGAAACGGTTTCCCGGGAGGCTCCCTCAGGAAGTGAGAAGAGGAACTGACAGTCTCAGGAACCTGGGATCTTACCCGCGGAGAGCGCGGGGTGTTGGAAAGCGGAATGAGGTCAGCCTGTCACGGTCCCAGACCGACCACTATCACCTGCAGCACTGGAGATGCTGACCCTCTCGTAGCCTCGGACCCTCGCCTGGAACCATCAGAATGGAACCCCCGCTCCACAGGGTCCCGGCGAGGGCTGAATGGGTCTGGCGGCGAGTTATCGGTTTCTCTCCGATTTCCTAACACGTGGCTAGTTGCTGAGTGACCTTGAGTCGATCACTTCTGCACCTTTTGGATAAAGTAGTCTCTATGTTTTCCAGCTAGACATGTCTTACAGCAAGAGCTTCCCCGGGACGGAATAAGGCAGGATCCTTGCTCATTTGGGATTCGCAGTAGTCACTGGGTAACTGAGTTAGGTGATTATCAAGGTCCCTTTCAGTCCTAAAAGTCTACCATTCTTAACTTGCTCACCTCACCATCCCATTGCTGTTAGCCAGCTGGCTTCCTGTCTGTCTTTGCACTTCAGGGGGTGCAGACTGAGCACCTCCTAGGTCTGGCCCATTGTAGCCACAAAGCAGAACGAACAAGAGCACAGTCCGGTGGCGGCTTTTGGGAAAAGGTGTCCCAGTATGCCATGGTAAGTGCCGGGTGGAAATACATCAAGGACTATGGTGTCAAATTGTAAGCGGCGAGTAACTCCAAAAGGCTTCCTAGCAGAGGGGACAGTTGACCTGGGTCTCAAAGACAAGGAGAAGGCCTCCTGGGGGTGGGGCAGGAGAAGGGAGCATGCTCAGTCTGCAGGCCTGAAAGTTCTCACCTTAATCTCCTAACAGCTCATCCTTTCCGTCCCATCCTTCATGGAGCAACAGCGAAATCTAGAAGCCACGTCTCCCACGCCCTCCTGTTCAGTGGCTCTCCGGGTCTCACTGAGACCCGGTCCTGACTTGTCAGACTAGGACTGAAGGCTCTGTACAATCTTTGCCGACATTACCTCCATCGATTCCCTGTTGGCTTTGGTCAAACTGGTTTACCTGTAGGTCCCTAATCATGACAGCCACGTGTTATACCCAGCAAACCAACAACGTTTATGTGGCACAAACTTTTTCTTTTTTTAATTCATTTTAGAGAGAGAAGAAGGGAGAGGGAGAGAGAGATAGAAACATCGATGAGAGAGAACATCGATTGACCACCCCCTGCACGCCCCCACCGGGGGTTGGGCCCTCAACCTGGGCATGTCCCCTGAGCGGAATTGAACCGGCGACCACTGAGCCACACCAGCCAGGGTTGGCGCAAACTTTTATTTGGCACAGCCACGCCTCTCTCTGAGCTTCCCTAAAGCCCGCCTCTTCTCCAGGATCAAAGCCGGATGCCACCCCGCCCAGGAACCTTGCCTGCAGCCGCCGTCTGTAGTGCAAAGGGCCCCTTCCGGGCGGCTAGAATGGGCATCGTCAGCCCCAGGCCTCGGGCGCTGCTCAGGTGCCACTGTGCTCCTCTTGGCGAAAACAGCACACTCTCGCGAGGCGAGTGTTACATTCTGGGTGCCCCCGTCGGGGAAGGAGGAGCCCCGACAGTGCAGGGGTACCAGAGCTCTTCTAAGTCATGTGGGGAGGATTTAAACTTTCAGGGGTTGAATTATGTGCCCCCCGCCCCACCCCGCCAAAAGATGAAGTCCTAATTCCTGGGATCTGTGAATGTGACCTTATTTGGAATTAGCGTCTTTGCAGATGATTAAGTTCAAATGAGACCATGAGGGCCCTTCTTTAAAGATGAGTGGTGTCCTTAGGAAAGGGGACATAGGATGAAGGACCCCAGGGAGAACGCCACCGGAAGGTTGGATTGTGGTCCCCACAAGCCAGGAACCGCCAGAGGCTGGAAGGGAGGCTGGAAGAGGTCCCTTCCCGGCATCTTCAGGGGGGCATGGCCCTCCCAACACCTTGATATTAAACTTCTAGCCTCCAGCACGTGTTAGTCAGCGTTGGTTGTTTAAGCGTCCTGCTCTGTGGTACTTGGTCACGGCAGCCCCAGCAAAGCCATGGAGCCATACCCTGCTGAGAGCATTCTCTGTCCACCAAGAGTCAGGGGAGTCTTTACTGCACTCTCCTCAATATCTGGGGGTACAGAGCAAAGGCTTTCCTGGGTGAGGGCAGCTGATATTTTACAGAAACGGAGTGTCCCACCTCCAGCCTGGCCCTGGACATGGCCGTAGCAAAGGACAGAGCTAACCAGAGCCAAGAAACACGGCTCAGGAAGCCTCTCTCAGTCTCAATCTGGTGAACGTGAAGGTGGAGAGAGGGTCGTGTCAACATGTAGAACATCTCTGATGTTAACGAGCCGACGAGGACCAGTGGACACCAGAGGTTCAGGAGAGGACAGTGACAAAAAACAGGGGACACAGAGCAAAACCAGGAAGGAGAGACATAACTGGTTCCCTCAAGACACGTTGCCTGTCACCCGGAGGACCGGAGCTGACGGTGGGCACTGGCGTCCACTTGCAGTCGCGGGATAACACAGACGCTACTCAGAACCCACGTCAGTGTATCTGCTCTGCTCTCCGTCAAGAACTCTGTCACTTTTATCCATATCCAAAGGTAGATAGTGCTAAGGAAAGACACCAACAGGAGCTGGCCCTCTCTGAGAGGCGCAGGAAAGGCTGTGGGCCAGCGGGGGCCGACCTGAGCGCGGTCCTCCAACAGCTGGCGAAGAGGGTCCGGTAGGAGGTCGTCGACCCTGACTCAGGGACATCAACATTGGTTCCCTGCACCTGGGGGGCCCCAAGGTCGCAGGGCTTCGTGTGGCAGCAGGGCTGTGGTCCCGGGAGGGCCACACAAGTGCCCCTCCCTCCCTTCCCTGGCACCGTGGTTTTCACTGAAGACAATAATCACGCAGGTGCAGGGCAGTGCAGGGAGGGACACTGAGGACACATGAAGGACAAGAAGCCACTCCCGGCCGCCGGTGCCAACTGCGCTCTGACAAGCTCCCCATGTTTCGGGGAGAACGGGATGCTCGCCTGCTCCTCAGCAAGCAGAGATGGGGCTCACTGCACCCAGGGTTTCTCCCGTGTTCTCCTTCCTTCGGGATCACCGTGCAGGTCCCAACGAGACTCCCTCAAGCAAGGGGCAGGAAGCAAGGCCTTCTGAGTAATCAGACGGGCGGGTCTTGTTTCCGTGGGCAGGATTGCTTCGAAGTCTGCAGGTTTGGGGGCCTTTTGAAGAAACACAGGGGCCGCTGAGTCCCCTCCGTGGGCCTGGGGCTGTGACGCAGGGAAGTGGAGTAGCCAGTGTCTTGTCCCCTGAGGCCAGGCTGGCTGAAGAGTCTGCCACCTGGGGGTGAGGAGGCGACACAGGGACCCTGGCCAGTGGGGCCCCCCCCAGACACCCGCCCCCTTCTCCATCTGTTAGTAAGAAGCTAGCTTAAAAAAAAAAAGTAAAATATACTTGCATAAAGAATATCCCCTTAAAGACCCCTCTAGTTGCAATGGGTTTACTTTTCAGAAGTGGGTGCCTTCCTCTCCATCTAGGGGTGCTGGGGGCCCACTTGGGATGGGGGAGGGGCAAGCACCCTGAGCAGGGCACCCTGTCGGGGGACTCCCTGTGCAGGGCCACTTTCTGTCGAGGCACCAACGTCGGATTCCTTGGTAGCAGACATAGCTCACGGCTATCAGCTCAGACATTGCATTCTTCTACCTCTGGAAACTTTCTTCCATCAACATCCAGCAAAGCTGAACGGCTGTCGAGAGCCCACAAAACAGACAGAAATAGCTTTGGTCTTGCCGGATTGACTTTCTCTCTTTTTTTTTTTTTGGCCTCTTTCTCTTTGGGCTGCAGCTTATCCCTGTACTATGAGGGACTGTGTCAATACTGTCACCCTGCATGGGGACCAGGAGCCCATGGGACCCGTCTTCACAGGCGGGGCAGGTCCTGTCCCCGTGCAGTGGGCGGGGCCACGCAGAGCAGCATTTCTCCTCAAGGACGAGCAGGCTCGCACCCATCACCCTCTCAGGCCTCCTGTCTGTATTCAACTGACCTTTCCCTCTGAGCAGAAAGGAGACCGGGCTCCAAAGCCCCAGAAAATGCACTGATTGGGGTTTTCCGATAACCCCGTGAAACAAATCCCCAGCCCTCTGGTACATGCTCCAAAGTTAAATTCTCATTTGGGCCTTTGGAATAGGCGTGGCCACTGCTCAAAACAGATGCCAGCGTCCTGTCTCCTCTCTTCCCGAGTGGATGGAGACAGGTTTCAGACAGCGCCCCTATTTCTGCACATCTGGAGGAGGTGGAGGTGACCCCAGTCTGCTTCCTGTCCTTGGGAGGGAGGAGGCTGAGTCCCTGGGCCGAGGAGGCGGCTGCGGACGTTGTGGCGTGTTCCGGCACAACTGCAGAGAATTTGTTGGCGACTGTTGGTCCAGGTGCCCCAGGAAGTTCATATCACGCCATCTTGGGCATACGGGCCATGAGTTGGCCCCTTCTTGAATTCTTTCTAAAATTATCAGTAATTATGCATGGTTTCTAAGAATCAGCATCGCGCCGACGTGGGCTGCTGATGTAGACGCTATGTTTACGTGTGGTAAAGGGGAGTCGGAGCCGTTCAGATTCCTAACAAGAAAACTGTGGTGACGGAGGGAAAGAGAAACCTTCCTAAAACCTCAGTGACTGCTGGGACAGGTCCTTTGATGACGTCTTCCAGGGATAGATGGCACCCTTGGACCGGCGGCTTTCAAAATACAGCCAAGTTCTGCAAGCGGAAGGTGAAGGTTCGCTTTATTTCTCGGCATTTCTGTTGTTTTTCTCAGAACATTCTCTCTCTGGGACAGATGAGTTCCCCGTGCCCGTCCCTGTGGGAAGCTACGTGCTCAGGCCTGATCTCACGCCTGATCTCACACCTGCCCCTCGACATACCGACAACTCCATCTAAGGCTCCTACTCTTTTCTAAA